CCTGACTTCCACCTGGAGCAGTAAGACTGCCTGCTTAGCCACAAACCAAAGGGGAGGAAGCAGAACTTGGTCTACAAAGCAGTCACTCTTGTTTTGTATTTGAGACCCAATGAAGTCTGCCTCTGATTTAAAATGTGGTTAATTAACTTGTCTTTAAAGATGAGCCTGAAAGATCATTGAAAGGAAAAATCTCAAACCTGGAGCCCAAACAGTACCATGGGGCCTCCTGTAATGACAGTGCCTAAAAGAAAATGCCAAACATGGCAATGTTAAAACCACAGGGAGTATGTGATCTCCTCTTTCCAAAATCACAACCAGCACTGTGGTTAGCTTTCCAGGCATTTGTTTGCAGGCAGAGGTTGAAGGAGAGCCATGTATCTTATACGTGTGATCATCATGCCTTGCTGCAAGTCTAAGGAGAAGACTCTTCCAGCCCAAAGTGACTGGCTGTATAAACCCAAAGATGCATATGGAGGTAGGAGGAGGAGGTGCAGAAACACGTCAGGAAGAGGGATGAGTAATGGAGCTTTGAATCCCACTTGTGCGCACAGTGCCCAAGAACTATACGTACTGAGGCTTGGAGTAGTAGCGACGTGATCTCCCCCTTGCCTAAGCAGCTCCAGAAGGGCCACAAAAATACTGAGTTTAGCAGAAACATTAAAGTCTATGATTCACTCAAAAGGTAGGGATGATGTCAGATAATGTTGTACCAGTGACTTCCTTAAACTGCATATGGGATTAAAAAAGTTTGTGTACGTACGCCTGTGTTATGTATCAACAGTGGATCACATATGAAACTGAAGTCAACATGATGCCTTAATACTCCAGGTCCCATCAGGACTGTGTCCTTTCTTTATGCTTATGTCAGATTTCCTGTAAAGTGCTTCTGACTCAGGTTCTTTAATATCTTAAAGACTGATGGTGAATGATAGTAGAATATTGAAGATATAATACTTTCTCCTGTAAGCCTGTATCTATGCCATAGTGCCTGAGTACATTTTCATAATTAAAAAGAAGTCAGTATAGAAGAAATAGCAATAATGGATGACTCCCCTCACACTTTACAACCAAGTGCTATCTGTCATTTAAAAAGGAAGTTGCCTTTTCAACTAACTTCACAGGTTTTTTTTTTTTTTTAGAATTTCTTATTTCCATGGCAGAAAGCATTTACTAGTTCCCAAGGTACAATTTAGGATATATAAATCAAGTAGCACAGAAAAACTTCAAGTGATTGCTGACTAGAATAATGAGTGTCACTGTCATGTGCCTCTACTGAAGAAATGCTCTTATCTCTGGAATATCTTGTTGAAGTTTTGTACAACACCTAAATACCCTGCCACTGACTGACCCTCAGTCTACCAAATTTTTTGAATTGTCTGCAGTAAGCCAATCCTTTCTTCAGAATGTTTCCTTCCATCTTTTAATTCTTCACTTTTGCCCGGTCCTCACGGTCACTTCTAAATTTCTCACCAAACTGTTTAAAAACAGCAATAACAGCAGCTTCTCTCTAGACTCCTCCAAGCTGTTGGAGGTTGGTTTGCTGCGATTCATTGTTGTGGTTTTTTTCTTTTTCCTTCCTTCCTCAGTGTGGGTGTATGTGTTAGACTTTACCTGACACAGAGAAAGCCAAATGAAGGAGAAGAGCTGTCTGAAGCAGGAGCAGTGTGTGACTCTATGTGCACGTAAAAGAAAGAATATCCATTCCTGGGACCAGCCGCTCAGCACCTCTGGTCCTTTTGGGAAGATTGAGAGAAGAAAAAAAAAAAGAGTCTGGTATCACACTGGCCGTAGGCTTAGGATGATATATTTTTGATCTATTCACTGAGTTTTCTGGGGTCAACCCTGCCAGGCAAGGCATCTGTCCTGAACATAGGCAGCCAAAGCAAAGCAATACTCCACCAACCAAGGTGACGGGAGACATGGTTTCATTGGCAGATGACACTGCAGATTGTGGCAGCCTTCTCCCACTTTAATAACGAAACCTGTTTCTGCCTCTTTTGCACTCTCTATCCATTGTTCTTTTAACTGTGCAGTCTCAGTGTCAGAGACGCGTAATAGGTCTCTTGTCCCATAGCTTCTAGCTCTTGTTTTATGAATGGGGAATGAGTGGCAGAGACACTAACATCTATCCGGGGAAACCCATGGAAATGGCTCGACAAACCTGGGCATGGGTGACAGACTCAAAGACCAAGAACAAGGAGTTAACCTGAGACTTTCTAAGTCATCGTGGCCACTGCTTCTGCACCTAGTTAGAAATCTTTCTTTCTGCATGGGGCAGACCTGGACAGAATAAACATTCAGCTTCAGCTTTCTGGAGTGCCAGAAGGTTCACACCCCTGCGTTATTATCTAGGTAATGTTTTAACCCTTTTTCCATCATCGGTTGTGTATTTTATTCCTCACACCCTTTTAATTTGTATTGAAAAGTATTAAAAATGGACTGACGTGGGTAGTCCTATATACTTGCATTATACAGCCTGGCTCCGTTCAAAGGTTGCGTCTCCCCGCGAAAGCAAATTTTCCATCTAAATACCCGAGCCCTTCACAGTCACTGGTTTCTGCACAAAGAGACCGGTTCTTGTAATACGCAGCAAGAAATTCCTGTGGTGGTGTTTCAAAGTGCCAGCACATGTGGACTGCTCTGCGGGCACATATTTTTACTGTTTCCATTTCAGCATGATTTAAGGCTGTGGGGAAAATACTTACAAAGGGGGAAAAACAAAACCCCAAACTCGCAGAGACTGCTGAGGTTGGTCAGCTTAATTTTATACTTAGCAATCACAATCTGTACTGAGATAATTAGACGGAAAAGTCGCAAGAAAAGAGCCAGATGTTTTTGAACCTGTTCAGCAGAGATTTTGCCTTTGATTGTTACAATTTAGCATATGAAATAAAACTGTCTATAGTTGGAACTGGAGTTTAATTTTTGAGGTTAAAAAAATCTGCTTCATAGGAGGAAGCTATCTTGAAAAGGAACAAATAGCTTGTGAAAACTAACAAGATAAAAGGCACAGTTGAGTCATCAATTAATGAGTTTTACTCTCTCTGGACTTTAAGGCCAGGCTATGACAGGAAGACCACTGGATAGTAAACTGTTACCGCACGTAAGGATAAAAATAAAAAAAAACAGATCAGCCCTTTTGATCTATTTCCATAATAACAACTTTGAGAGATGAAAGAAGTGTATAGGCTATCCCTACCCCCCAATAATTTGAAAGACAGCATGGGAAAATCATGATATTTGCAGTTTTTCAACTCATCTTTCAGGATTTTTCATTTAATTCTAATACTGGGATAGGACGAAGTCATCAATGCCATGCTGAGTTGCACCAGCTGAAGGTCTTATCCCTTCTGATTTTTTTGTGCACCTCAGCTCTGGCTTTCAGGAAGCATCAAAGACATTTTAGGAAGACTGAGAAACAAAAAAGGTAATTATGAGAAAAGAAGCTATTTCAGAGCCCAGAGTACTGGAAAGACCCAATGCACACAGAATGTGAAAGGTCAGGTAACTAAGACACGGTCAAATTAAATTTACTTTCCCCTTCAGCTTTCCAAGAAATCCTCTGCAGCCGCAGAACAATTCAGACCCACAGGAAAATCGCATGGAAATATTAGGTGTACTTTACAGAAAGGGCTTTATTTAAGTGCTTTCTCAAGAGCACTAGAATATTGCTCTGACCTAGCCAGGTATCTTTAATCTAGTAGAATAGAAATCAGTAGAAAACCAGCACACACAGGAATTATCTGATTATCCATCCTTATGTGAATATGCAACAGAAGCACGGTAGCCGGGAGTCCATTCTGTGGCTGACCTTTCATGCTGCAGTGTTGTAATCCAATAACTTCCCATATTTGATGTCAAACGTGTGGTCAGGAACAAAATCTCTCTGGACTGGTTGGGAAGAGGAACGACTATAACTTTACCAAAATGAAAGAGGCGTCCGTGTTCAGAAATCTTTATTACGTTATCTGGCAGACATGGTGTCAGCTCCCGGGACAGCCAGGCTTGGCATAAAAACTTGCTACCGGAGCTCAATCTCTGGGCAACAGGGCACTGAGGTAGTGAATCTCCAGGCCCGTGAGTTGTGTTAATCACCTTCCAGTTGGCATTGTTGAGTAGGATAATATCATCCAATGGTTTGCTGTAATAACATATGTTGTGATGTCATTTTTAATAACATTTGTAATTCAGATATGATTCGTATTAAATATTTTTTTTCCGATAAAATATCCTACTGGGCAGTTTTCACATATGGTCAAAGTTACCTAGGCGGATATTTAAATAAACCATTGCACAATAACATAAAAATCTCTTGCAGCTACAATTAACCTGGACAGATGATCCTCAAGCAATTGTTCCCAAATGATTCCTGTTCTCCAGCTTCCCTTTTGTAAGGCATGCATAACTAACCACATTTCTATAAACATGCTAGCAAAGTCCATCCGAGGGTCAACTCCTTCTCTACGCAAAACTGACCCAAATCTAAATCTAGCTGCTCCTCTGTTTGTAATATTGCTGAAATTTGACTTTTTCCATCTGTCTGGACTATTAAAGCCTTTAGTCCCTCTTCCTCTTGTCCTTCAGTTACACTTCTCTTTTTCTCATGGCTTCCTGCCAGGCACAATAGTCTGTCTCATGCATCTTCACTGCACCCAGGGTCTTCTTTCTGGTGTGCTGCTCAATATCATCATAATCTGCCTCTTTTCATGAGAAATCCACTCAACCCAGCCCCAGAAGCTCCACATTAGCTAATTGCCCTTGGCTCTCAGATGAACTGAATATATTAAGCTATTGCTCATTCCCTTACCACCTGGTTCGCCGCAGCAGTGCCAGCCTATACTACCTTATCTGTTTCACTTTGGGTGCCTTTGCCTTCCCCTTCATGCCCATATTCATGAGGCACCAACCTTTATATAACGGCCACTCAAAGCCTGCCTTTGCCATAATGCCTGACATTTGCTTCTGCTTAGCCAAACTTTTTTGTTATGTATGTTTTACAGCAGTGTCCTGATGCTGTTGCAATTTGGATGGCCACAGTGGAGCCACCTTCATGTCGTCTGACCCAAAGGGTGAGTGTTTTATTAGGGGATACCAATAGGCATAGCGAAGGAGCATTGCTAGCTCCACAAGTTAATTCACCGTTTCATTTCTTTATTTCATCCCAGTACGTTTGGATCGGGAGTTCCTGAGGAAGATTATCTTCTGGTATGTCTGTGCATTGTCAGTACCACGGAGATCCAACCTTCAGCTGAGCCCCCAGTGGCAGAGAGGATCCAGTTCATTAAAGACTAAAAATCAAAGCAGCACGGATGTATTCATGCTAACTAGGAATGGGAGAAAAGTATAACTGTAAACACTGCTCAAACACTTTGCTAATATTATCTTGTCTAATGACGGAAATCCCAGATCCCTAGCAAAACTAAGCATTTCTGCTGCTATAGCAGAGTGCAGGTAGCACACCCTCCTGATTGCTGCAGATTAAAAATAGCTGAGAAAGATTGATGCATGCTATTTCTTTGTTCATATATAGCTGAATGAAACCATGTAAGTAGAACCCACTTACTTTTCAGTATTAGGGAATAAGCCTTTTTAAATATGATTCCTGGAACAAAAAGCATCTGCAAAGAATAATCTCTTTAGATCCTTGAAAAAAGTCAGCATTTTATGAAAGTATATTGTCTACTGACGTTTATGCATTTCTCTGCTTTTGCAAATCCTTTCTGCATTTCTTAGATACTGATGCCAACACCGAACTTTGCCAGTCTGAAGAGTGGAATTTGTTCTTTTTTTGGCATTTCTATAGTGTTCTTCAAACTGAGATCTGCTCACCTTCCTGGTTAAAGCTTGTAACTTCTCCGTGAAGTAGGAGAGAATTATCTCAGTTATTCTAGGAGGAAATCTACATTTCAGAGTTTGACTTATTTTAGGTTACCCAATGTGGCAGAAGCAGGTGTAGAAGCAGATTCAGACCACTTGATGCCCAGCCCTGTGAACTTACCTGGATATAGGGAAGGACATCGAAAGTTGATTTTGGAGAGCTTCTGCCTCCAATTGTAGCAGGAGAGGAAGAAGACGTATTGGCTTCTCTTGCAGTATTCTGTTTTCTTTTAATTTAAATCATAACAGAATTCACATTCTACAGGAATATAGCAAGAGATTAGACATGTCTTATTTATACACTGTTTATTACAATAAATTCTTTTTAAATTCTTGCTAAGACTTGTCTTCCTAACCATCTGCTCCCAAATGGAATCCACACAAAACACTACCATAGTTATTTAGAAAAATGTATGTGCTTTCTAGCTTTCATTGGTCTTAGAGACAAAAAAATAATTGGATGGAAATGCCTCCCAGTGTGATTAATATGAAAACATAGTCTATTTATATTCTGTTAATCAGAGGAATACATTGAAATACAGTTCACTGTCAAACACAGAACAATGTCGTTTCTGATAGTTCAAATCTTTCAATGAAATACGTTTGTATTTATTTAATATCAGACTCTATAGAAAGATCATCAGGAGGCCTACTAGGATGCAAACTCTGATGATCAAAAGTGCAAGGGAAAAATTCATCCTTAGTGCCTACTTCAAGGCTTTGGTGGATGGGGACAAAGTAGACCTGATGGATTATGTTCAAATCACATTCTGAGCGAGAGCGACACGCTTATTTAACTTCAGACGTCTAAAATTTAGCTATCTGTATTTAAGCTCATTCTCTAGGTTCTCCGCAGAGTCGACAACAGAGAAGCTTCCCGGGGGCAACTCTACCATCCTTTTATAACACTGACCGTAGGAGAAACCTTACTCTGCAACCTTGAGTGGCTGTTGGCCACCTATAGCAGGAAAGATGATCTGCTTGGCCAGCAGAAAAAGCGTAAGTGCTGTGAGAGCTCCTCTCTGCTGAATTGCACGTGTGGGGAGGTTGGACAGTGGGCAAGGGGACAGCCTGGGCTGCTCCTCACTCTCTTGACCTTCACTGCCCTATGATAGTTCACCCTGCTGGAGCAGGTGGTCTCAATGTGACCCTCAGGATCCGCTGAGGGTAAAATCAGATCTGTCAGGGTGTTGTGCGTATTGCAAAACATGGAAAAGCAAAGACACCAAGAGCCTTGTGACCTCTCGTGCTTTTGTGTGTGGGCCTCTGTGCTGTTTTTATTCGAGAGCTTCAGGGAGGTCTTTGGGAGGTTTCCCAGTTCTCACTTCAAGTGTGTCTTCCCTCGGCAGGGAAGGTCAGTAGCAGAACCACTGTTCAAAGCTGAAGTAGTTACTTGGCCTGCTCATGGGCCATGGGGAGGAGACTGTGAGTCAGCGTGACAATGGAAGTAGCACAGACAGCGAGTACGCGGTCTATTCGTTTCCATGGGTCACGCTGACGAAGCGGGTAAGTCAGCTGGACGTGACCTGATTTTCCATGGTTCTCTGTAAACAGGGCCTGGATTATGCAATTGCTGTTTGTGGTGATGCGAATTCGGTCGTAACATAGGAGGGCACATGTCAGTGAGGACTAGCCCAGGATGCTTGCACAGTCTGGCCGAAGGATTATCTGAAAGGTGTTGCCACAAGAGACTGAAAAAATCTGCAAATGCAAGCCTGTACAGCCTGGATGGAGTGAGCTGCTGTGGACTGTGGGAGTCCTCAGCGATGCGTGTGCATCAGTGGGGAAACAGTAATACCAACATTTCACGCATCTGGCACTCACAGCCTAACAGGCAAACAGAAGAGGAGTTTCACAAGATCTCCTCTCCCCATGTATGTCTTTTCTTTCTAATTTCTCCATGTGTTCCCATTTTGCTTTTGCAAACACTGATTTCATGATTTCTCTTTCTCAGCTTTCTAGCATGTTAGCATCTAGCACCCGTGACTTTAAGTCTTTCTGCACCTTCTTCCCCAACTCAGCTTTGACCTCTTCCTGCAAGACTACAGTTTGTTCATAGATATTTTTCTTCCTAGCCAGTTCCTTATTCAGGCAGCTGGCCTCCTCTTTCTGTTTCCCATGCTAAAAAAAAGGTCTCTGACTGTGTGATGGTAGAAACATTGACACTTCTGCTTTTTACTTTCATGCATAGCAGTGCCTTCTCCAGCAAAGTGAGAAACCGCAGAGCTTCCCACCCTGGTGGGATCACCTAGTTTATCCAATGGATCTTTCCATTCTTTTTGGGTGAAAACTGGACTCCTATCTTGGGAAACTTTGGTTCCTTATTCCCCAAAACAGCCCCCCTGCTGAGGTCACCTACTCTGGATGGTAAGTCATAAGGGCGTCTCTGCTTAGGGCGATGACGAACAGGTTTCCTCACAAGGTCACTCACACAGCAGAGGCATGAGTGCCGTGGGGGGACACTTCAGGCAAGCGGGAAAGAGAAAGAAAAATCACTTAAAAATAAGAAGTCCCTGCAAAACAGTTCAGATTTTTAGACATCCTCAATTTGATTCTTTTACCTCTTTTTCCAGTCTCAAAAATTCCCCAGGTGAGAACAGTGACTCAGGCAAACACAGGCATCAAATAGTTCCCCTCAGCTCTGCCTTACTTGCTGCAAGTCTCCAAGAAAGTTGAACACTGCAGAACTCTGAGCTGTAGCTCTTCCAGGAGCTACGTTCAGTCTCTTTTCAAACACTCTTTGCTACACCACAGACACCATAATCTGTATAAACCATATGTGTTTTGGCAAAAATAGAGTAATTTCTGAAAAGCAGATATTAAATACACTTCTCGGCTAACAAAAGAGTGCTATCAGCCCATGTCAAAGTAATAAAGAGGAAAGACATAAGGAAATGGCACTAAGCTGTATGGCATTCTTTGCAGTTAATTGGACAGCAGGAACCCAGGCTTGGGGCTGATCCTTAATTTTTAAAGTGGTGCATGGAGAATTAAGCATTAATTGGAATGGGAGTCATCTTGAAGCAGAAAAAAAGCCTCACACACCACTGTGAAAATGTAACTGTAAGTATGGTAGCTGCCAGCAGAGATATAATTAGGTGCACTTCTGGCCTTATCTGCAGACTACACTGTACACTGAGTCGTTAAAAGCAATCACACAGTAAGAAAGAATGCCTGCCTCATATTAAGCTGTTTAAATGCTGTACTGTAATTATGCTTACAGATGTTTTAAGAATACGCATGTAGGAAACTGTGGGTCTTTAATTATAGATAGGCTTGCATACGATGTACTTTGCTCTGCTGAAAATGCGTCTGTGCTGACCTGAGAGCGACCTTGGAAAAGTCTGTTCGGGGAAGACACAAGCTACGGTGCTCCTATTAACTGGAGCCCGGTGCAGTGGCAGTGACCCTCTCTGAAAGCCCTTCCCTGCTCTGGCACAACGCTAAATCCCTGCCTTTCTGATGCTGGGGGGTTAAGGGGTCTGGGCAGAGGCAGCAAAGCAGGACTGGATTTTCCCCTCAAAGCAGGACCAGGTTTCCCCTCCTGCTCCAAACTGCATCTCGTTTCAGCATCTTGTTCGATGCAGCGATACATTGCACTTTCACATCCTCCTTTTCCTTCTCTTTTGGAGAAAGGAGAGAAGACCACATTCTCTGCCTGGTCAGTTCTATCAAGAGGGCTGTGAGAGAGGTAGTCACTACCGTGCCCATGGGCAAACCTGTAGGGGCTAGGGAAGGCGGCCTGCTGGGTGAGGGGCCCAGCACTAGGGTTTTCTTTGTGCCTTTTGTTACTGTTCTCCTAAAACATCCAGATCTCTGCTTCGCTCTTCTTTTCTTGGCTGATATCTCCATTCCTATATTTCCTCCTTCACTCTCCCTTTCCTTCCTCCCTCCTGCTCTCTTGCTTTGCTACCTGCTGCCTTAATCCAGCCAGCAGAAACACTGAGCACAGCGGAGCCACAGGCTGGATTGGTAATTACACGGTACATGGCATTATTATTGTTTACGGGATTCGACAAGGAAACTCATCCCCCCTCTCTCTGTTTGTCATCAGCTCAGCTTCTTGCACCCTTTAGCAGCGAATAGTGCTTCAGGGCGACGTTCCTGTCTATTCATGCATATGCAGAAACATTACCAGTGGAATTAAAGTGTATTAACAATAGCAACGACATCAACATCCTTAAAAAGGTGGTTAACTAAGAGCAGAGAACTAAGAGAATAAGGAATTGATGTCATCTCTTTCTCCAAAACTACGCACCTCTCATACATTCAGTTACTTCAGCTTAACTCAGCCAGCGAATATCCTGGCACTTTTTTTACAGCTTTTCACTTCTCCTAGCCTGGCAGAGCAAACTTAACTGACAAGGAAGACCAAACGTTATTCCATTTTGTGCATTGCCAGGCTAATTGTTTCTTGTGTTCAGATCGGTTACTAACTAACCTGGTGCCAGGGCATGGGGATGGGAGAGAACCACCGTATCAGCTCTGGCATTTCTCCGGGGCTGCCTGTCCCCTCCTAATGCAACAGAAGCACAAGAAAGGACCAGAAAGAATTTTACTCTTCTCTTTTGTCCAGTTTTGCATTTGTAAAATGGGGGACTCAGCACATAATGAGTTTGTTAAGAGGATTAAGTACTTTTTGTTAAAATGCTCGTAAACACGAAATACCATCCAAGTGTCAAGAATTTATTGGTCCTATTAAAATATTTTTTCACTTGGAAAGCATTGTGAGATCACTATTTGCCCCTCTCCGAGTTAGCCATGTGACTCACAGACTTGGCGGGTACCTCTTTATCTTGTGGAGAAGGAGCCCGACATATGGATACCTCTTTTGACTTTACTGTTGATTTCCCTCTTGACCAAGCAATCCTTGAAGGGAGATGAACTGAGATTACCAGGTGCTTTTAAGGGTCATAAAATTGCACTCCCTGTTGCTGTGACGTTGCTAAGCAAGAGAGGGAAAAAATATTTCTGTGCCTTTCAGAGAGATGGGCAAGCCCAAGTGGAGATGCTGGTGGGTGCTGGCTGGAAGCACAAAGGTGCATGCTGAAAAGGAGGACACGAGGCAGATACCAGGACAGGGGAGTCCTCTGTGGTGGTGGTGGGGAATGGGAAGAAGAAAGAAAGAGAAGAAAGAAAGATGAAAGAGAGAGAAAAGAGATGCTCTCCTGGAAGACAGAGAGCT